TACCCTCTCCATTCGGGCTCTTTCCCTTGCAGCTCAGACTCCATTAACCTGTTCTCCCTGAGAGCAAAAATAGTGGTGTGGGAAAAGCACTGTCAAGAATTATAAATTCCAGAAACTTCCACTCAAAGGACCGCTCGGTAATGATGGCACAGCAATCCTGGGGCCTTGCCACCTCCCGCGGGTGCATCTCCAACTTTCCCACCAGTGTGGGGAGGGGAATTCTGGTCCTGGGCAGAATGTACTTGAAATCTCATGTTTTACACCTTAAAAGTCAGGCGAAGTATTTTCTATATCTTCATACACTTTTTAAAATTGTGGTAAATTACTTACACAGCCGGTGTGTACATTTAAGGTAGCTTCTCCTTCCTCGTCCTGCAAAACGAAGCTGTCATGGAGCCAATGGAGAGTGGCTCTGAGATGACATAGGTGGCCTGAAACTCTCCTTTTTGCTAACTGAGCAAAACCCGCTCTGGGGATGAGCCGTGTGCACTCCCTGGTACCGTGGCATGTCCTGGGGCTTGTGCATCCCAGCTCAGGAAGCTTGGCCTTTGCCAGCCTGTGCTCCCCACCCCTGGCTCGGCACCTCCCGGAGCTTCTGGCCCTGGTCCAAACCTGGGGAGGATTCCAGAGCTCAGTCATCACACACCGGATTTTAACTGCCTGGACCCAAATCTTAGTGTGGGACTCTCTGCAAGAGGCTTTTTAGAAGCTCTTTTTTGGAAGGAGCTTATCCAGGCCCTTTGACATATTTTCTGAATATTTGCTTATGTTTCAATTGATTGATTCTATGTGCTTTTCTTTTTTAAATCTGTTAAACCCGGCTCCCCTTTTGAGGACCCACTAGCCAGGAGGCCATTGCTCAGCTGAGGTCCAAGGTCATTCTGGATTGACCATGACTGATGAAGGCCTGAAGGGCACTGGCCTTCTGATGACACTTGCTGTGCCCAGTGACTCTGTCTCAGGAAATGGAAAAATGATGCAGGGCTGCTAAGTCCCTGCCCTGCTAGGCTCCCTCCCCAGCTTCAAGCCATCTAGGGACCTGCCCATGTTCCCACTGGTTTGATGCAGGGGCCTGGATAGGTTTCTCTGCCCAGCCTGGTCTCATCTCACAATGATAAGAACTCAAGGTCCAGCCCAGGCCCTGGGCGGAAACTGTTCTATACCCATCTCTTACCTCCATGGGCTAGAAAAAATCAAATATCACTCGAAATCTTGCCTCCTCTACATGCCAACTACCATTAAAATATTAGCATGTTTATTCTTCACATCTATATTTACTATAGTGGGAAATATTTTCAGTCTACTCTGCACCTTCTTCATTTCCCCATGTTTTTTGAGATATGTTATTTCTACTAATATAATAATCTATGTTCACTGTAAAACATTTTCTCCAGCAGATTTTTATGTCTACTTCCAGGAGTTCTTCCAGAGAAAAGAAAAAGACAGAAGCTGCACTCCCTGTGGTATGGGGCAGAAGCTGCACTCCCTGTGGTATGGGGTTTATTGCAGGACTGAGCAGGAGCAATCTAAGAAAATAAAATTTTATGCATACAAAGATCTAAAATTCTGGATTAATGTCTGCTTCACTCATTGCTCTCTTAGCCATCAAAGATGGAGGCTGTGCTGTTCAGGCTCATCACTGAATTCCACCCTCCCCCCAAAACAATATAGAGAAAGTGCTCAATAAAGACTTATTGATGCTGCATTTTCCTAGATAAGAGAACAGCTAACATAGATTCTTGGCACCTAAATTAGATAAAATGAAGTCAAAGTCCTCTTTTATAGCCACTCTCAAACCCACCGGTTGGATTATTATCCAGCAAATAGTCACTCTTCTCCCCCCTCCCCAGGGGATGGAGATCCTATGCTGTCTGTCCTTTCATATTGGGCGTGGCCTTGTTATTTGCTCTGGCTAATGGAACGTTAGCTGATATAACATCAGCAGAAGCCTTAACCGGTGCTTGATTTTTGCCCTTCTGCCATTTTTCTTTCCCTCGGGTAGAATGACCAGAGAGTCACGGAGTAAACCCCGCTGGGCTCAAGGCCAGCCCCGCAATCTGCATCTGAAGCTGAGCTGTCTGACCAACCAAGATCAGCCCATCAACAGTCCTCCCACAGATCAGGAAGCTTGTGGTCTAAAGTCACCGGCTTTAGCGGTGATTTGTCACCCTGCGTTATTATAGCAAGACCTGAATGGCATACACACTAAATGCAATTAATTTTTCATATAACCTCCCAAGAGTATGCATGTGTCTCCCCTCAGATCTGCCAGCGCAGACTGGTTCCTGAGCTCCCTGTTGGCTACATGGCCACCACACGGGACGAGGGCAGCCTTGCTCTGGTCCTCCAGGTCCACCTCCACCCGCACAACTTAGAATGCAGAGGAAATTGAAGACCTCGGCGATAGGAAGTCTAGTGCCCCTGCGTGCCACTGTCTTTCTCCAAGCCTGGTGACGTTTTCTGAAATGTGGAGTTGAACTAGATCCTTGCGATTCCTTCCAGGGCTAGCAACCTGTACACTGTAATGATACGCACACCCCTCCACTGCCCACCCTCCCTCCCTCCCTCCCTCCCTCCTTACCTGGGTGTGGCTCAGCAGGGGGAGGGTAGCATGGTGGGCAGAGCAGAAAGCCTGGCTGGCCTCCCAGGCTTGAGCTTCAGTAGAGAGGTAGTAACAGTGCTCCCCAGACCACAGCCAGCCATGGGGACACGGGCGGCACCCGGCCCCTGAAAACAGAGACCACAGGTGAGCTGCAGGGTAAACTAATGAGCTGAGTGCGTGCTCCTTAAAAAAATTAAAACCTGGCCACCGCCTTGACTGAGGGGCAAGCAGGTGGGCAGGGACCGCGGAAGGCTGTACAGTTTGTGTGGGGCCCAAAGACCCCAGGCAGGGGCTGACCCCAGATTGCCTGTCAAAGTATAGCTGGGAGGAGGCACCATACCTGTTCTAGAAGCCAGGGCCACAATGGCGACCGTGGACACCGCCAGGAGCACGGCCATGACCGCCAGGGCCCAGCGCAGGGACTTCATGTACATGGGCAGCCCTGGGGAGGGGAAGGGACAACCAGGAGAGACAGGTTAGAACCACTGACTATACCCCAGCATCACGCCCACAGGAGCACCCCCTCCCTCGGCCCAGACACCAGGATAAGCCACTCGATTTAGGTGAGAACAGCCTATCTGGGAGAAAAATGCTAGATGTTTACTTCTTAAATAAGATTCTATTCAAGAAAGAGAACAAGCCCCGGCCAGGTGGCTCCGTTGGTTAGAGCGTTGTCCTGATAGGCTAAGGCCAAGTTCAGCCCCTGGTCAGGGTGCATACAGGAGTCAATCAATAAATGCATAAATAAGTGGAACAACAATTTGATGTTTCTTGCTCTCTCCCTTCCTAGCTCTCTAAAATCAAATAAAAGTTTTTTAAAAAGAGGACAAATAACTGGCTAGCAAGCATTTACTGTGCAGCTAATGTGCCCTAGACACAGGGTATAAATTCACCAAGAACAGGGCAAGGCCCCTGCACTCAAGCAGCTAATAGACCGGGCACAGGTACCCGGAGATAAAATCACAAATGAGAGAGGAACGAGGGCTAGATTTGGAGTTTGACAGGCCTGGGTTCAAGTTCTGACTCAAGAGTTCTTGGTGTTTTCAGGTTTTAACACTGAAATCACACCTGCCTTTTTTGTCTGTCCATGTCTGGAGGCCACCAAGGAAGCCTCATAGGTCCAGAGCACTAGGCAAGTGTGAGTTGTCAGCAGCCCAAGGCCCCAGGGGACCAGATGGCTGGCATGAGGTTGCAGAGAGGAAAGAAACTCTGGAGACGGGAGGGGGTGAGGCACGGGACCTAGCCACATCATGGATGACCTTAAAAACACTATGTGTTAAGTGAAAGAAGCCAGACACAAAAGGAGACGTGTTATATGCAAACCCATCGAGACAGACAGTAGACTAGTGGCTGCCTGGGCTGGGGGATGATAGCTAGAAGATACAGCACTTTTCGGAGTGATGAAAGTATAAAATGGACTGGTGATGGTCACACAACTCTGCATATACTAAAAACCATTGAACTGTATGCTTTAAATGGGTGAATTGTGTTATGTAAGTCATAGCTCAGTGAAGGTGTTACCCAAATAAGCGATTTGAAAATGCGTGGAATAAAACATACATAAATTGACAGTCTTAAAGTAACAAAAGCAGAACTAAAAAAGTCTGGAGAAGCAAAGGAAAATAACCCTGCCAACCATCTCAGTAAATATAAATATTGTGACGGAACAGTAAATTCAGCTCCAACCTTTCAGAAAACAGCAGTAAAAAATACAGTAAGTTACTAAAGTCGCAGACACCGTCCACACTCAGCTGCAATGCAGACCTGGGAAATGGCCCCCAGCAGCCATTTGTCTCCCAAACTTCCAGGCAAAGAAAAAGTCCTACACACTCCCTTTAGAAAGCAATTTTTTTTAAAGTTTCTATTGATTTTCAGAGAGGAAGGGAGAGGGATAGGGATAGAAACATCATCCATCGGCTGCCTCCTGCACGCCCCCTACTGGGTGGGGATCGAACCTGCACTCTGGGCATGTGCCCTGACCGGGAATATGGACAGTGACCTCTTGGTTCCTGGGTCGATGCTCAACCCCTGAGCTACACCAGCCGGGCTAGAACGCAATTCTTAATCACACAAGTAACAAATACATTCTCCTTGTTAAAAAAAAAAAATGAAAATACAGCCTGGCTGGTGTGGTTCAGTGGTTGAGCATTGACCCATGAACTAGGTCACTGGTTGATTTCGGTCAGGGCACACACCTGGGTTTCCCTGCTCCATCCCCAGGAGGCAGCCCATCAACGATGTTTCTCCTTCATCTAAGTTTCTATTTCTCTATCCCTCTCTCTAAAAATCAATAACAACATTTAAGAAAGAAAATACAGATGAAACCACTCCCCTTCCCCTCAAAACCAACCAACCAACCAACCAACCAACCCTCCTACTTACCATCCAAGGCTTAGCTCCAGGAAGCTTTCCCAGCCGCTCCCTCGGGGCTCCCGGTCCAGGATTGCTTATTTGTTTCTATCTTTTCCAGGCTCTTTCTTATTCCCTCCCGATCGCCTCCCTGCCCCACCCCGCAAAGAAACGCACACACACCCTAACTGTCTCAGCAGAAGTTGCTGCAGGGATGAGGGGGGGTAGAGGGGGGTAAGACAATTGTGCCTCGGCGCACAGTGGACCGAGAGAGAGCCTGAGCCTGCGAGCGGGCGGCCCGGAGCCGGGAGCCGCGGACTGCGCTCCCTCCCCGGGAACCCTCCCCGCGGGGCTGCTCAAAGATGCTGCGCACAGAGCGGGGATGTGGAAGTCGTCGGGAGAGCGTAAGGGGGCAGAACAGTGGTTTTATACTTTCATCGAAAACCATTTGAATTATAATTACGTAGACCAGAATGCTGCTAGTTCCAAGCCAGAGAGAGCACAGGTAGGGTCGGACACTGGGAAGGTCGCCCGGGTCCCCTAGTCCCTCCAAAGCAGGGCCCAGGGCTGGGTGGCTGTTGCGGGGCCTCGGGCTGCGAGGGACCCGGCGG